CGGGGCGCGGGCGGGCCGGGCCCAGCTGGCCGGCGCCCCGCCCCGCGGCCGCGGCCGCGGACGCTATAAGAGGGCGGCGGTCGCGGCGCGCCCTGCGCGGAGCCCGGAGCGCGATGGTCAGCCGCCGCGGCGCGGCAAGATGCTGGATGGGTCCCTTCTGGCGCGCTGGCTGGCCGCGGCCTTCGGGCTGACGTTGCTGCTCGCCGCGCTGCGCCCTTCGGCCGCCTACTTCGGGTAGGTGCCCGCGGCGGGCGGCCGCGCGAGGGCGGGCTAGGGCGGCGGGGCCGGACGGGGGCATCCAGCCCGGGGCAGCACCCGCCAGGTGCTCGGCGGGGTTCACGGGTGGCTTGGAGTCGTTAGTTGGCAGTGAGCGCGTCTCTCGGTCCACAGGTCGTTGCCCGCCGTGCGCCCTAGAAGGAGAGGGGCCGGTGTCCCCGACGGGCTTGCGCGGGGCCGCGGTCCACGGTGACTCCCGAGTCGCCGCCGCCGCCTTAGGCCGCGGTGTTCCTGCCAAAAGGCTGGAGCCTCCATGGCCCCTGCCCACTACCCCCCTTCTCTCCTGGAAAAGTTAATTTAACAACAACAAAAAAACACGTACAAAATCCAGATGTTCCTTGCACTGAGCCCCAAAGGGGAGAAAGAAAAAAAAACCCTCCAAGCTGGAGAAATTTATTTTTCTTGCGCTTTCTTCTGGCGCCCGCCCGAGCCTGGCCCCGACCTCGGCCCTTGGGAACACGTCTGCGAGACCTGGCCCGGGGGTTAAACGCCGCCTCTGTCCCGCGGGGTCGCCGCCCGCGCTCGCCTGTCTCTGCGCTAGCAGTTTTGCCGCGTTGTTGGGCGCGTCTCTTCGCCTTTAGTTCCTTTCGTCTCTCCCTCTTTACTCCCTTTCCCAGGTCTGCGATGCTTGAACCTAGCGATCTTTAAGAGGGATACCCTTTGCACTTTGAGTTCGCCAAGGTCCTGGGTGGCACCAAGCGAGGCAGCGCCCAGCTTTCTCTGCCCTCCTGCTTCTCGCCTCCGCATCCCCCCCCCCCCCCCCCCGCCTCTCCCCCCCGCCCCCCCCCCCCCCAGCTCTGGTTGGCCCCTCGGGTCGCAACCCTAGTCCTGGGTGCCCTGGACTGTTCCTTGGGCCGCCGCCCTTCGCCGGTCACCTGTTCCCCTCGCCCCTGCCTGCGGTGCCCGCTCGCAGCGGTGTGGCCGGCAGAGGGCCCCGTTGGTCCAGGAATCTGGCACCCGCCGGGGCAGGGCGAGGCGGTTGGGCCGAGGAGCCCTGCAGGTGTATCCTGTTCTCAAAGAAAATAAAATATTTTCATGGGAAATTTTCCCTTTGTGTTTTTCTTTCTCCTCCTTTCTCCGCTGTCTGTCCGTTTCTTCTGGGTTGTCCTCCAGGGTCAGTTCCATGTCTCGGTTTCCCAGGGTCTCCTCCACCCTGGCTCCCCTGGCTTGCACTGTGGGTCCAGCCCCTGGGCCTTGGCCTGGCACGCCCCTGCACGCCATCTGTGCGGCCCTAAGCCTCACCCGTGGGCAAGAGGGAGGGCTGAGGATGGCCGTCTGGCCACAGGTCCGCAGTGAGTCACAGCAGCCCATCAGCCAGCTGTGCCTTCCTCTCCTCGGGCCCAGCCAGGCTTCTGACACACCCTGGGCTTGCATGGGCGGCCACTTTGTCCCTTCTGGGATCTCAGCTTGCTGGGCTGTGGCTCTAGGATTCAAAACGTACAGATCATGGGGCTAGAGTCCTGGCTGCACTGGCCCCTGTCTGTCTGTCTGTCTTTCTCACCCTTTCTTAGCTGATAATATACGTTGGGTCTTGGGAAAGCCCTCTAGCTTGGCTACTGGAGGGGCGTTGGCACCCCTTGGTTCCACGGTAGGGTTTAAGTACAGGATGGCTGGCATTCCCAAGCAGATACCGAGGACATCAGTGTTGCTATGGCTCTCTGTCTCAAGGAAAGTGGAGCATGCCTATGAGTGCGCCTTCCCTGCAGCTGCCCTGGAGACCCACTGTCTGGGCTTGGAAGAAGGATTTCAAAGATGGGCACAGTGGGTACCTGTTGAATCAAGAACCAGGGAGAGCCCAGGAGGACAGGCTAGCTGACTTGGGTCTCTCTACAGTTGCTTTCTGAGGAGTAGGTATGTATGTTGGAGGCACAAGATGTATCCTAGGCTGTTCAGCGTCCAGAGGTCCCAACCCTGCCTCAACCAAGGAAGGAGATGAGTTTGGAAACCCTGAAAGGCCTGGCAGGCCTGTTGCTGGAAGAGGAGCCTAAGGGTGCGCCTGTGAGAATGTGGTGTGCTCAAGTGTCCCTACCCAGCCCAACTGGAGAGGGAGTAGGGAGAAGGAGCTGGAATCTGGGGCTCTCCTCTCCCTTCCCCCTCTCCAAAGCTCTGCCTGGCACGGAGGCTCCCAGGCAGGAACACGGCTCCAGTTACAGCCCAGGAACCCAGAGAGGAGAGGCTGGCCCGGGGGAGGGTCACGTGGCTACAGGAGCCCTCCCCACCCCCTCCCAGAGCTGCAACCCAACCCTACAGCTCTGGCTGCCCTTCCCTTCTAGAGGCCTCTGGCCACCCTGCTGCAGGACCCCTCCAGGCTGGCCACCAGCCATGGGGAAGGGGCTCCCCTCTCTTCTCCCCTTGGCTCAGCTTTTCATCCCAGTCCGTTCAGCAGATCAGCAGGTGGCAATTCCATTAGTTTCTCCTAGAGCCGCCCGCCAGCTGCAGGCCTGTGTCCCTGGGGCCAGCCGGAGGTCACATGTGGGTTGGGGACACAGACCCTCTAGAGGCATTTCTTCCCTCGACCCTGCCCCTCTTTGGGAACTGACAGGTGAGAGGATTTGTGTGAGCAGCGTTGGACTCAGGAACGGAACTATGCCTCTGTGCCCCTGATAGGTGCCAGGGGCATTTAGAGACGAGGCCCCAGACTACGCGGAAGTAGGGATCAAGACTACAGTGAGCTAGCTCTCCAGCAGAGGCCTTAGGGAGCTTGGAGACTTTCACCTTGTTTTCATTTAAAAACAAACAAACAAACAAAAAACTAGGAAGGTGCATTGTAAACCTTAAGACTGGCTTTCATTCCTCAGTTTTGGCCATATACATCCTATTTCTCCCAGGGAGTGCCCATAGATCCCTTTCTGAGAGGTACTGTAGACACTTGGGACTACTGTGGACTGTTTGGGTCTGAGTGGTATCAGAGCCTACCAAAGCACTCTCTCTCTCTCTCTCTTTGTTATTGTATATAACTCACATCCCAAGAAACTCCCCCAGCTCCGTGGTTTGGGTATATTCACAAAACTGTCAGCCATCACCACTGTCTAATTCCAGAACATTTTCCTCACCCCAGAAACCTCATACCCGCTCAGCAGTCACTCCCTGCTCCCCTCCCTCCAGCCCCTGGCAACCACTAATCTTCCTGTCTCCATGGATTTTCCTATTCTGGACTCCTTGTAGAAGTGGGACCATGCGCTCTGTGGCCTTTTGTGTCTGGCTTCTTTCATTCGGTGTCATGTTTTTGGAGGCTCATCTATGTTGTAGCACACTTCGGTGTTTCACTCCTTTTTATGACTGAACTGATTATACAACAGTCTTAAAAAAAAAAAATCCCGTTTGTCAGTTGCTGGCTATTTGGGTCGTTTCCACCATTTGGTTATTTCTAGTAATGTTGCTGAGGATGTTGGTGTTTTATTTTGTTTTTCTCCTTCCATGTATCTGTGTTTTCCGTTCTTGGGGTACGGGGAGGGGTTCCTATCTAGAAGTGGAATTGCTAGGTCCTCAGGCAATTCTACGTTACACTTCTTGAGGAACTGCCAAAAGGTTTTCCCAAGTAGTTACAATATTTTATATCCTCCCATAAATGTATAGGGGTCCAGTTTCTCCACGTCATCACCAAACACATTCTGGTTTTTGTCATTGTTGTTTTTAATTCTAGCCATCCTAGTGGGTGTGAAACCCGTCTCATTGTAGGTTTGATGGCTGGTGACATTGTCTTTTATGGTCTTGTTGGTTGGTTGTTTTGGTTTGGTTTGGTTTATTTATTTATTTATTTATTTATTTATTTATTTATTTATTTTTGACAGTGTCTCTTCATTATGTAGCTCTGGCTGTCCTAGAACTCACTGTGTAAACCAGGATGGCTTTCTACACAGAGAGATCTGCCTGACTCTGTCTCGGGAGTGCTGAGAGGAATGGGATTAAAGGCTCTGGCTTTTACAGGCTTCTTGGCCATCTGTATACCTCCTTTGGAGAACCACCTGTTCAGTTCTTTAGCTCTTTTTAAAGTTGGGTTATTTGTTTTGTTGTTGTGTATGAGAATTCTTTACATATTCTGGACCTCTCCCAGATAGAGAAGTTTTATTTCTTGACTGGAGAACAAATGGGCTCTTTCATCCCTCCACACAGAGGTGGTGACTTTCTTGTGCCTGCCCCAGCCTCACTGTAAGGGTAGAGGGGGCACCCCTTATTTATAAGAACCCTGTAGAGGTTCAATTCAGGGTATTCAAAAAACTAGAAGAGGAAGATCCCCTCAAGTCAAAAGGATAGGAGGCTGTCCCATCCTTCATTCTTATCCTGGAGCCTAGATGGGGATAGCCTGTGGTCATTGGTCCAGGTCTGATAGCTGTTTGGACAAGGGGCATCCAGGTAGCTCCTAGAGGTGTCAGAGAAAGCTGGGCAGGGTTCCAGGCAGGATGCTGGGTCCAGAGAGCACAGCCTCCCTAGATCTGTGGAGCCTTCACAGTATACATTGGGCCGGGGAGAGGTTTCCAAGAAGGCAGGAGTCTGGATCCAGCCATGCGTGGAGTAGGCAGGAGGTGGGGAGTCTTGACTGGAAGGTTAGGTCTAGGTTAGGAGTCAGGACTGTAGTTGGGGTCAGGTGATAAACTTAGAACACCCCAGGATGCTCACAGGCCTTTGGAAGGGCAGCAGAGTACGGCGCCCAGGCAGTGGGGCTCTGTGGGGCAGCAATGGGAGCTGACAGGCTGGCCTTGGAGGCCTCTGCCAAGGGGCTCTGTGGGTGAGACCTCTTGGCAGAGGATTAGGGGAAAGCAAGAGGTGGGTGAGGAGAGGAGTGCTCCCCAGGGCCTACCAAGGTGGAGGTACAGCCAGCATTCCTCTGCAGCTCCCTGAACGCCTTCCCCGAAGTGGCCAGCTGGGGCTGGAGCTGCCTGGCTTTCCAGCTAGGCGTGAGGCAGGTGTGGCAGGAGTCCCAGGTAGGAGCTATTGCCCTGCCGAGTCTGCAGAGCAGC